ATTGGGTGAATACATCTCATATTACTGATTTACTGGTAGTCACGAAAACAATACTTTATTCGAAAAATAATCTCTAAAAGTAATCTTATCCTGGCTGGATTATACGGACGTTTCGGTCTCATTTGCGTCCTCAGCGGCAGCGCGAAATCCCGACATACTGCACCACACTGCCATAAATGCTCTTGTGTCACATAACATAGTTGAATTTCACATATCAGATTGTTAAGGTGTGATTTTTGATTAGGAAAACTTGTGCTTTGCTATGACAATCGACTATGTTACCTATATTATGAGAAAGTAAGCCTCTAAGCTTATCAGTAAATCGCTAGTAAGTTTCAGTGACTATAGCTAATTTAATGGAAACGTGAGTCATACTCATATGTTTGTAGGAAAGTTCAACTATCAGACTTTCTTTAACTTATGAGCTATAGAGTGATACAGCTCCTCATCAAGATCTACAAGTCGTTTCGAAACCTACCAAAAAGTTTACTTTTGCCTACTCCATCTCGAAATGGTGCATCCTTTTATGGTCACACTTCTCGGCCGGGTTTAGTTAGCAGGCCTATTCTCTTCGTCTGTGATCACATTTTTCGCCCGGACAAAGCACGAGATCAACTATTAACCATGAATTGGTCCAAATTTGAAATTCAGCCAAAATGAGAGACTCAGATGGCTTGACCAAATTCATCCGAATAGTGGTTTTTGATCACCGGAGCTTTACTTCCAAAAACCGACTGCTAAGCCTTCACGGTTTTTTGCTGTTGATAGTTGAATTTTCCCACAGTGCCGTTCAATTTCACATCGGTTTCAATTTATTAATAAGCCTTCGCAACTACCAGTAGAGCATTTATATAATTGGTGCAATAATCCTATATTATTTAATGTAAAAAAGCGACTGGTAGATGAATTTTTCCACAATCATATGAGTAGATCTTATGTTTCCATTTAATTTCACATAGCCTGTCTTTCCCAAAAGCTATTCTCATCCCAACTTAGAGGAGCTGCAGCTTCGGTCTCGCCTGGACTGGTCTCATCAGCACTCTCGGCGAGACTCGAACAATGACAGTGGAGCGTATAATCTCGACACATTACCTAATACGCAACATTTTCACAAATGCCCTTAGGTCGCAGAACAGATAAGAATTTTAAGGCTATGCATTTTTCCTTATCATATTCTATGGTAGTAGTTTCGGTGAAGTAAAGTTGTATTTGCTATAGCAATCGACTATATTACTTATTTTTCGTTTTATTAGCAGGTTTTCGAGGCTACGAGTAGACCATATATAGCTTTGTCCTCCAAAGTGGGACTCGATTGCATTCTCGACCCCACCCAAACTTGTCTCATCAGCAGCCTCAGCGAGAATCTAACTCGGATGATGCAACACTTATAGTTAACATGTTACTACTACTCAGCACCAGAACGGAATCCACTTGGTCACAGGAAAGACGTGACTTTCAAGGCAATCCAGACCTACTCTATATTACTTTATTATGGTGGGATTTTCTTAAAAGACAAACATGTATTTGTAACTGAGGTTGACAGCGCTACCGATACGCGTTATGCATAGATTTTTGAGACAATCATTACATCGTAAATAAGCACTCTAGTTAAACTAGATCGCTTCAGGGGATCCTGAATTTTTCCACAATGAAATGGGCATGCATCACGATGCCTCAGGCTCCCAAAGAATATTAATAACCGGTAAGTCTTTAAATTTAAATTCGTTTTGGTATCATAGAGCTTCTCAACTGTTATCATCACGAATAGAAGCAAACTTTTGTTTGCCATTAGAACCGATGATGCCACTTATGAAAAATATGGACCTTGAATGTTCACCTACAATAAGAAGTGGTATGACCTCATATTCACAGGTTGGTCGTGTGATGCCGCTTCATCGATAATACCATAACAGAATGCCTGACATTCCTTGAAATTAACATCTTTTCTGTCACTCAATTTCACTCGTAGCAATGTGGCGTAGTTGTTAACGTGTCGAGTTTACACGTTGCATTGTCATGGTTCGACTCCCGCTTGAGGTGTTGATAAGACCTATGCGAAGTAAAACTGCAGTCCGCCCTGGATGAAAGCACCTTTTGGGAAAGCTATGCCATGTGAAATGCAATGAAAAACATCAGCTCTAATCATATAATTGTGGGAAAATTTAACTCAGTCCTAACTCCCCTTTAACGAAATATGGTGAAAACAACTCATATATCTGATTTGCCTACCTTCTCAAAAACCTATTCAATTATGAAAAGACGAAGTAAAAGTCTTTACAGCAATATTATTTCAAGAGATTGTTTATGACCCAACTATTCCTTCCATATATCCATCCAGTCGATCATCTGCAAGCCCTTAAGCTGAGCATAAAATGGTCGGTCCTATCATAAGGTGCTATATCAAGATTGAAATATTAGTTACAAGAAGTTAGTAGGATTTCAATCTTGGTTTAGTGTTGTCGAGACTATTTTCGTAAATTCTGGTTTCTGTATCTGATGATGTCTGTTACAGTCTAATGGATAAATATTCAGAATGGATTTAGGGAGATCGCATTGCAGTGAACCGAGGTCTTTTTAGCGCAATTTAACATTTTACCAGAGGGACAAATTTGTAAACCTTTTTAACCATAACTAAATTAATGCCAATATTGATTTAGGCTCATATCCGTGATCTTGTGATATTAGTAAAGTATAGTTCCAAAACCACGTCTTATCAAAAACCAAAGGCATCCCACCTGAGTCAGCGTCATTTTAGTGATGATCGCCAGCATGATCTTTTCTCCCTTGGTTGGGTAGGGATTTTTTATGTGGTCCTGAAGCCAGGATTTTAGGGTTGCTGTGTTCTCGCGCGTTGCATTCTTTCGGCGGGCGCCATCCAGACTCAAGGGATATCTGTGCAAAAGAGTGAAAAAAATTAAATATTGCATAATTTTGCTTTTGCAGACTCGGACCTGCCACCCAAGCTGTGGCCCCACTTTCACCAGTGTCTGATTGGTGACTTCAATCAGCCTAGCTGTGCCGAACATACTCCCCGGCCCACCAATGAGCTGACGAAAAAGGGAGGGGACGGTACCTCTGATCCGGCAGCTAGTCCCTGATCCACCCGTCCGAGGACAAGCAATCCCCTCAAGTCTTGCGATCCGGCCTCCGAGTCACGGTAAGGGTGATCCCGACCAGCATTTGTTATTTTTTGCCCTAACTACCTCGTCTTTCGCCTCCTCTTGTCCTTTAGGAAACTCACACGCACACACACACAAGTAGACACAAACGCAGACAAATACACATTATACGGACAGACAACAGCCTGCCCTCCCAGGGGCGTCCGCCCGTCCACTCGTCTGGTGCAGCAATCTCTTTTCGTCCAAGCACGTCAGCCAATTCTTGCTCTCGACCCTGGCAACTGGCTTCACAGCAGGTCCTCTGTCCGGGGTCACTTGGTCAGCAGTGCCCGAGGCCGAGGCGGGAGTTGGCCGGCACTGGCTCAGGCTGGCGGACGCAACTCGCCTGGGGCACTGTCGAGCGCCGAACTGCTTGCGAAGTTAGTTCGGGTCAAAAATGTCAACGCGATAGCCACACGTGGATAAAAGAATGACGGAACCAAAGACTTCAGGTTGGTTTGACATCGATTTTGTGAATTGTTCATGTTGTCAGGGTGATCCTGAAAAATGCTCTCTCCACTGCTTCATCTGCCAGTGCTGCATTGTACAGAAGATATGAAGACTAAGATGGTCTAGCCCTCGGTACAGTCATAGTCTTCTTTAAATTTGTAGAAGTGGGTTGAGCTCGTTGTCGCAATTTGTTCTTGTTGTCAGATCGACTTAGTTGAACGCACCTTATCCAAAATCTTCTGCCATGATAGTTATCATAATTCATTCATTCTCAGACGTTTCGTCGGCATCATCCGTGAGTGCTTCCATTCTCTGCATGAAGCTATGAACTCGTCAGAGACAAATCAAGTCAATTCCTTGACCAAGGCTGTGCCGAAACCCTTACACTATCACTCTTCCTTCTGTCCTTACCCTCCTATCCAACTCCCGCCCTATCACAACTTCTCCCTTGTTTTCATTCCACTCGTCAAAATGTGTACCCTTTTGTGATAAATCTAGTGTGGCCCCATCACACTTGCCATTTACCCCGAACCCTCTCTTTCGATCGGCCTTCA